ATAGATAGATAGATAGATAGATAGATAGATAGATAGATAGATAGATAGATAGATAGATAGATAGATAGATAGATAGATAGATAGATAGATAGATAGATTGACACAGATGATAGATGGTAAAGAGATGAGAGAGATGATAAAGGGATTGTAGATAGATAAAGATAGATAGATAGATAGATAGATAGATAGATAGATAGATAGATAGATAGAGTGATAGATAGAGTGATAGATAGAGTGATAGATAGAGTGATAAATTGACACAGATGATAGATGGTAAAGAGATGAGAGAGAGAGATGATAAAGGGATTGTAGATAGATAGATAGATAGATAGATAGATAGATAGATAGATAGATAGATAGATGGATGGATGGATGGATGGATGGATGGATGGATGGATGGATGGATGGATGGATGGATGGATAGGTGATAGATTGTAAAGAGATGAGAGAGGGGAGGGAGGGAGGGAGGAAACTAATCAAGGAGAGAAGCAACCTAGAACTAAGAAATTCCCTGAAGTTGTGAATTTCCAGAAGTTGTGAGTGCTCCAACACTGGAAGGTTTGAAGAAGAGATTGGACAGCCCTTTGTCTGAAATGGTAGAGGGTTTCTTGCTTGAGCAGGGGGTTGGACTAGAAGACCTCCCAGGTCCCTTCCACCTCCGCTATTCTGTTATTCTGTTCTGTAAACTTGAAAGATCCAGGCAGGAATGTGGAGAAGAAAAATAATATAGAGGAATTCCACCTAGGGGAGAAGGCTGGGCAAAGAGTCAACATCCTGCCAACCGCTTCATTCTAAGCTTCCCCTTGAGGTCACAAAACAAAGCAGCTACGAAGGAGTTGGAAGGAGTTTTATCTCGTTAAAAATAAGGGTTCTGCTCCTCTTATCTCTTCCCCTACAGCATCTACTAGGAGAGAATGTTGACGTTCTCCAAAGGGTTTGTAGGAAGGAGGGCAAAGAAATTGCTTTTAAAAATAACACATCTACATAAACAGAAGGAGGTTAACTCCCAGCAGAAGTTGATTGCCAACGACACGATGTGCCAGGAACCATGCAGAAATGGGTAGCACCATTGGACTAGAAGACCTTCAAGGTCACTTACAACTCTGTTCTTCTGTAATAATAATAATAATAATAATAATAATAATAATAATAATAATAATAATAATAATAATAATAATAATAATAATAATAATAATAATAATAATAATAATAAAGTTGGAAGGGACCTTGGAGGTCATCGAGTCCAACCCCCTGCTCAGGCAGGAAACCCTACACCATTTCAGACAAAAGGCTGTCCAGTCTCTTCTTAAAAGCTTCCAGTGTTGGAGCATTCACAACTTCTGGAGGCAGGTTGTTCCACTGGTTAATTGTCCTCACTGTCAGGAAGTTTCTCCTTAGTTCTAGGTTGCTTCTCTCCTTGATCAGTTTCCATCCGTTGCTTCTCGTCCTGCCTTCAGGCACCTTGGAGAATAGCTTGACTCCCTCTTCTTGGGGGCAGCCCCTGAGATATTGGAAGACTGCTATCCTGTCCCCCCTCGTCCTTCTCTTCATTAAACTAGACATCCCCAATTCCAGCAACCGTTCCTTGTATGTTTTAGCCTCCAGTCCCCTAATCATCTTTGTTGCTCTTCTCTGTAATCTTTCTAGAGTCTCAGCATCTTTTTTACATTGTGGTGACCAAAACTGGATGCAGTATTTCAAGTGTGGCCTTACCAAGGCCTTGTAAAGTGGTATTAACCCTTCACGTGATCTTCATTCTATCCCTCTGTTAATGCAGCCTAACACTGTGTTGGCCTTTCTGGCAGCTGCAGCACACAGCTGGCTCACATTTAGGTGATTGTCCACTAGGACTCCGAGGTCCCTCTCACAGTTACTACTATTGAGCAAGGTACCCCCTATACTACTACTACTACTACTACTACTACTACTACTATTATTATTATTATTGTTGTTGTTGTTGTTGTTGTTGTTGTTGTTGTTGTTGTCCTGTTCTCTATATTCTTTGCAAGGATAAGATAATCTCCTTTAGATTGTGGCAATGCTCCAAAGCAACTGACTGCCTTCTTGCTGAGTTGTCTCTCAACTCCTCCATCTGTACTGGACCCATTGGTTATGGGGGATTATCTACGAAGATCTCCTGTGTCCTTGTCTCCCCTATTCTTTTGCAATTCTTTGACTTCATTTGTATCTTTGGGTTGGGTTTTGGACTCTTCCTCTTCAGACTTTGATGCTGAGACTTCGGAAAAAGTGCAGAGAAGAGCAACTAAGGCGATTAAAGGCCTGCAGACTAAAACATACGAAGAACGGTTGCAGGATTTGGGCTTGGAGAGTCTAGAGAAAAGAAGGAGAAGGGGGGGACATGATTGCAGTCTTCCAGTATTTGAGGGGCTGCCGCAAAGAGGAGGAGGAGGGGGTCCATTTATTTTCCAAAGCACCAGAAGGCAAGACAGGAAACAATGGATGGAAACTCATCAAGGAGAGAAGCAACCTGGAATTATGGAGAAACTTCCTAACAGTGAGGACATTTGGAACAACTTGCTACCAGAGGTTGTGAGAGCTCCATCACTGGAGATTTTTAAGGAGACTGGACAGCCCCTTGTCTGAAATGGTATAGGGTCTCCTGCTTGAGCAGGGGGTTGGACTAGAAGACCTTCCAGGTCCCTTCCAGCTCTATTCTGATTGATTGACTGACTTCCACAATTTTCTTTTTGTAAATGTTCTATTCTTTTACAACGGACACTTGTAGAGTTGATGCAGATATTTCCTTGGTGGTTGCATCTTCTGGTCCGTCGATCTTCCTGCCCTGTTTCTACACACACCTGTACACACTCACATACTTTTAAGGGCTCTTCAAGGTTGGGTTTTCCCTGCTGAAGTGAGCTCTCCCCCTCTTGATTGGGAGATCCTTTCTTTGGGACGAATCCTTCGGTGGTAAGAGTTCAACTTTCCAATTATTTGACCATGCTTCCTAATTCTCATCATCAACAGAGCCAAAGTCTGCCTGACTACAGAATAAGCAGGCGGAAAATAAGAACCTCTTTCATCCATTTATAAATATTTGGTGCCAATCCAAATCCATCACCTCAAAGGTCTGTTTAAAAGAGTGCAAATACATTCTAAGATTGTTTAGTGGCGCCCCGGAGTATTCAAATATTTGAATCGGGTTTAACCAAAGGCAAAACGAAAGAGAAGATTGTGTGTGTGTGTGTGTGTTAAATTGAGCTTGAACGGAGCCTTAAACATCCTGAAAGTTTCATTATTTAGGAAAGCCAGAGTAAATATCACGGTGATCCCTTTTTTCTCTCTCTCTCTCTCTTAAACCTTTTAATAACTATACTAAATCAAACTTAAGGTGGTGCTTACATTGGTGGAGTCGTATTTATTTAAGAAAAAACTTCGTAGGAAGAGAACCAGAAAGGCTCAACAGCCACTCCTTCCCCCGACTTACGACAATTCATTTAGTGACCGGTCAAAGGGACAGCAGCCCTGAAAAAAGTGAGCAGTGCCATATAAACAGAACTTGTACAAAATATTTTACAGATGGCATACGACACCAGTGAGATTAGCGAAAATGTTTAAAAATACTTCCAATAAGTGTTGGAAATGTAAACAAAGGCCAGGTACTTATTATCATATTTTGCTGGACATGCCCTAAAGCAAAAACAGTTTTGAGTTAAGATACATGTACGGTTGGAAAAGATGACTTAAAAAAAAACACAGATAGATTTTAAACCAGAATTGTTTTCACTAGGAATAATAGGAGCTAATTACGACGAGAAGGAGAGCGAATATTTAATATGACATGTATTAACAGCAGCAAGAATCGCATTTGCCCAGTATTGGAAAAATGAAAACTTACCAACTGAAGAAGTATTAATCAAGAAAATGTTAGAATGTGCAGAAATGGATCGATTGACTTTAGAGATTCAAGAGAAAGAAGATTCAGTTTACTTTAGAGCAGGGGATAACGTTTATCGATGGCTAGGAAAACGAATTAGGGAGAAAGGAATGTGATATGTTATTTTGAATACATGCCAGTAAGAAGAATGTTATGGATTGATTAATTAATATTGTTTATGATAAACAATCATATCTGCTACTGTTATCTATTACTATATTAATTATTGTTAGTTAAACATATGTACCCAGACAATATTCTTGTTAACAACCTGTGACTCACTTAACAACCTGTGTCTCACTTAATAACTGTGGTGAGAAAGGTCGTAAAATTCACTTAACCCGTGTCTCCCTTAGCAACGGGAAGGTTGGGTTCAGTTGCGGCCGTACGTCAAGGAGTAACTGTGCCACTTTTTTCTACGCAAGATTTTTTTTTTTTAAGGGAAGAGACTTTTTCTCACTTAGCATTCTGTTCACATTCTGATTTCACCTCCGGATGTCCCGTAATTCCGATGGCAGAAAATAAAGTAAATAAATATGTTTAACACTAATTAATATAATAGTAAATAGCTATAGTAAATACGAGAAACGATAATCATAAACAGTGTCAGTTAATCAATACATATCCTTCATCTTACTAAAATATATTCACAATAAAGGATCACCTTCATTTCTCACCAGTTCGTTTTGCTAACCATTGATAAAAATTATCCCATGTTTTAAAGTAAACTGAGTCTTCTTTCTCTTTAATCTCTAAGGTTAATCTGTCCATTTTTGCACATTCTATACAAAAGTATGCTTGCTAAAGCTTGGAAATGTTAATGGGGGCTAACCCCATTGTTGTTCCTATCCCTGTCCCAACCCCAACCCTGATTCCCACCCCGAACCCTAACTCCCATAATGATCCCACCCTTTCCCTAACCCTATAAAACTTATTAAAACTTTATAAAAAATAATAATAAAAAAATAAATATTTTTTTTTTAAAAAACCCTCTACTTTCAGAAGATGTCAGCTCGTGCTACTAAGAAACGACAGCAAAATGAGGATTATCCATAGGTATAAGTAAAGTTAGATATTGACAGTCCCGCTGATATTGGTGATGCTTCCCTTCATATCAGCGCCGCATTCTTTAACAAACTAAGACATTTTCTACCATGGCAGAAGTTATGCAGTCATCCAATAAGATGTTGAGACTCTAGAAAGAGTGCAGAGAAGAGCAACAAAGATGATTAGAGGTCTGGAGGCTAAAACATACAAGGAATGGTTGCTGGAATTGGGAATGTCTAGTTTAATGAAGAGAAGGACGAGGGGGGACATGATAGCAGCGTTCCAGTATCTCAGGAGTTGCCCCAAAGAAGAGGGAGTCAAGCTATTCTCCAAAGCATATGAAGATCAGCTGCAGGATTTGGGCTTGGATAGTCTAGAGAAAAGAAGAAGGGGGGACAAGATAGCAGTCTTCCAGTTGTCTTTCAACTCCTCCATCTGTACTGGACCCATTGGTTATGGGGGATTATCTACGAAGATCTCCTGTGCCCTTGTCTCCCATATTCCTTTGCAATTCTTTGACTTCATTTGTATCTTTGGGTTGGGTTTTGGATGCTTCTTCTTCAGACTTTGATGTTGAGACTTTGGAAAAAGTGCAGAGAAGAGCAACTAAGGCGATCAAAGGCCTGCAGACTAAAACATACGAAGAACGGTTGCCGGATTTGGGCTTGGATACTCTAGAGAAAAGAAGGAGAAGGGGGGGACATGAGAGCAGTCTTCCAGCATATGAGGGGCTGCCACAAAGAGGAGGAGGGGGTCAGTTTATTTTCCAAAGCCCCAGAAGGAAAGACAAGAAACAATGGATGGAAACTCATCAAAGAAAGAAGCAACCTGGAATTAAGGAGAAGCTTCCTCTCATTGGGAACAATTAACCCGTGGAACGACTTGCCTCCAGAAGTTGTGGGAGCTCCATCACTGGAGGTTTTTAAGAAGAGATTGGACAACCATTTGTCTGAAATGGTCTAAGGTTTCCTCCCTGAGCAGGGGGTTGGACTAGATGACCTCCAAGGTCCCTTCCAACTCCGTTCCAAAGGTGCTTTTTCAGGACTTTCTCCTTTTTTCTTTCAAGACATTTCAAAGAGGACAGGGGTACCTAATTTCTGATCCACCCTCCATGTTCAAAAGATAACCTTGGGCCAATCCCCAATCTCTCTTACTCTGTTGTTCTGTTAAAAATTCAGCCTATTCATAAACAACGGAGTAGGTCTTTCCTTCGAACTGGGTTGAAACGTCGGAGTAACTGGACCAGAGTTTTGCCCACTTCGTGGAAGGAAGACCGTTCGACTAGCGCAGTGGTTCTCAACCTTTTTAATGCCGCGACCCCAACCGGTTGTAAGTTGAGGACTAAACCGGTCATAAGTCGAGGACTTTCCCTGCCCAGGAGCTCCGCGCATGCGTGGTTCCGCCCCCTGCGCCGGCCGAGGCGTAGCTGGCAAGCGGCAGAGACGGAGCAGGCCGACCACCAGCTGGCCCAGCCCAAGGGAGGTAAGGCACCCGCCGGAAAAGGGGGGAAAAAATGGCGGACAAAAAAAATGGCGGACAGCCTTGCTTGGCGACCCCCGTGAAATGGTCGATCGATCCCAAATGGGGTCCTGACCCACAGGTTGAGAACCACTGGACTAGCGTCTTCAATTTTCATTCTGCAGTTCCTGATCGTTCAACTGTCTCTCTTGTCAACCCAAGGAACGTTGTTCTTCCGCGGCCCCAACTGGGCTGGCTGCCTCTCATCCCGCTTTGTGTGTTGGTAAGTCCCAACTTGATGGCCAAAAGGACCCCAGGCGTGCGCTTCTGAAACCTTTAGGGATCACTAGCAAAATCAACAAGGCAGTCCAATACACATACCCACCTTTCTTTGCTTAAGAAGCAGAAAGTACATAAGAATTGGGTAGCTTTTCATTAGCCTCCTTCCACGCAAGAGTCACAAAAGCTCTCCTACTGCCTGCCAAGAATCAAAAAAGGAGAACGAAATATCTACCAAACAGGTAACTTCTATTGAACAGGTGTATTTCGTTATACGGGTGCTTTGTTTAATGGCATGCATTTTTCATGGCTCTTAATTCCTCCTTGCTGTTTTTAAAAGCTTCTTCTCGACATCTCCCCCCCCCCTCTCCTATCATCACAAATCTCCATATAGCAGTCTAGGCATTAATATTAAACAGCTATTGATATGCCATAAGAAATAAACCCGTGGGGAGAATTCAGAAATGTAGGTTGCTTCTTGGAATCCTAAGAGGAAAAGTTAGCACCTTCTCCTCCATTGTTGGCTGTCCGGCATTTGATGCTCAAAGAAAAGCTACTTTTTAAAAAAAAAAACACACAAAGGTTTTACTTAATTAATATAACTTATAACGGTGTGCAAGCGTCATTGCTTTGCTTTTTGCTACTTTGGAAGTAGGAAACTTCGGAGGTGCAGTTCTCAGAGAGAATTCCTTTGATAGCTTTCAGAATTCAGTTTACTTTTCTCTATCCTGTCCCAAAGGTGCTTTTTTTTTTCAAGAGGCAACTGGACTTTCTTGTTTTTCCTTTGAAGACGTTTTGCTTCTTATCCCAGAAGCTTCTTCAGCTCTGACTGGATGGTGGGGAATGGAAGGATTTATACTCCTTGCAGACCGCTGGTCATTTGCATCCTAATAATAATAATAATAATAATAATAATAATAATAATAATAATAATAATAATAATAATAATAATAATAATAATAAAGTTGGAAGGGACCTTGGAGGTCATCTAGTCCAACCCCCTGCTCAGGCAGGAAACCCTACACCATTTTGGACAAATGGCTGTCCAGTCTCTTCTTAAAAACTTCCAGTGTTGGAGCATTCATCATTTCTGGTGGCAGGTTGTTCCACTGGTTAAGTGTTCTCCCTGTCAGGAAGTTTCTCCTTAGTTCTAGGTTGCTTCTCTCCTTTATTAGTTTCCATCCATTGCTTCTTGTCCTGCCTTCAGGCGCTTTGGGGAATAGCTTGACTCCCTCTTCTTTGGGGCAGCCCCTGCGATATTGGAAGACTGCTATCATGTCACCCCTCGTCCTTCTCTTCGTTAAACTAGTCATTCCCAATTCCAGCAACTGTTCCTTATATGTTTTAGCTTCCAGTCCCCTAATCATCTTTGTTGCTCTTCTCTGCACTCTTTCTAGAGTCTCAGCATCTTTTTTACATCGTGGTGACCAAAACTGGATGCAGTATTCCAAGTGTGGCCTTACCAAGGCATTGTAAAGTGGTATTAATACTTTGCGTGATCTTGAATCTATCCCTCTGTTAATGCAGCCCAGCACTGTGTTGGCCTTTTTGGCAGCTGCAGCACACGGCTGGCTCATATTTAAGGGATTGTCCACTAGGACTCCGAGATCCCTCTCACAGTTACTACTATTGAGCAAGGTACCCCCTATACTATACCTGTACATTTGGTTTTTCTTGCCTAAATATAGAACCTTACTTTTTCACCATTGAATTTCATTTTGTTAGATAGCGCCCAGTGTTCAAGTCTGTCCAGGTCCTCCTGTATCCTAAGCCTGTCTTCTGGAGTGTTGGCTATTCCTGCCAGCTTGGTGTCGTCTGCAGATTTGATGAGTTCCCCATCCATCCCCTCGTCCAGATCGTTGATGAAGATGTTGAAGAGCACTGGGCCCAGAACAGAGCCCTGGGGCACCCCACTACACACTTCCCTCCATGTAGATGCAGTTCCATTGAGGACCACACACTGAGTACGGCCGGTCAGCCAGCTACGGATCCATCTGGTGGTGATGCTGTCTAACCCACATTTTTCTATCTTATCGAGTAGTAGGTTGTGATCTACTTTATCAAACTTAGAGAGTTGTTGAGGCCACCTGGAGGTTTATCTGTGTCCTCGGGGTCACCTGAGTGGTGCAAATGGGTGTGGAGCCTTCTTGGAACCTTCTAGAACACAATCCTTTGAGCAGTTCCAACCATTTGCAGTACTCAGGTGACCCGGAGGACACAGATAAGCCTCCAGGTCCCTTCCAGCTCTATTCTAGTCTAACTTAGATTATGGCAGAATATTTTCTCCAGGGTGGCCCCTGAAGAGCCAGGGATTGATTGACAGGCGCCAGTACATCCAGATACCTTGTGCTAATTTCCAAACAGCTGCACAAATTGTTAATTATCTGCTCGGCCCAATTTGAACTCCTGGGCTGGACGTTTGGAAAACGCTTAAATTACGTGGGAGGTGGACGCGTTTTCCCAGGCGAGCACTTGGTGCACAACGAAGGGGTTTCCATAAGCACATGCAAATGCATTCCATAATTACAATTTATAATTGTGCAACCCCAGAACGCAGGGCAATATGTTCATGGAAGGCTGCTAGGTCCACGACTGCTTATGTATGCGAAGCATGTGGGCTCTCTCTCCCGGTGCAGATGTTCCCAAAGAAAACACTTTGGAGAAACTTTGCTTCCTCCTGATCAGTCAAAGCAACTGGGTCAAACGCTAGACAGCTGAAAGCCTCTGTGGGCGTGTTGCAAAATGTATGGCAAGATGGCAGCCGTGGCTGTGCAGCAATAGCAACAGCATCAGCACTCAGACTTTTATACCGCTTCACAGTGCTTCACAGCCCCTCTCTAAGCGGTTTACAGAGTCAGCCTGTTGCCCCCCCAACAATCTGGGTCCTCCTTTTACTGACCTCGGAAGGACGGAAGGCTGAGTCAACTTTGAGACTGTCAGGATCGAACTGCTGGCAGTGGGCAAAGTCAGCCTGCAATACGGCATTCTAACCACTGTCCCATCAAGGAAGGAAGGAAGGAAGGAAGGAAGGAAGGAAGGAAGGAAGGAAGGAAGGAAGGAAGGGACAGAAAGAGGGAGGGAAGGAAGGAAGGAAGGAAGGAAGGAAAGGAAGGAAGGAAGGAAGGAAGAAAGGAAGGAAAGGAAGGAAGGAAGGAAGGAAGGAAAGGAAGGAAGGAAGGAAGGAAGGAAGGAAGAAAAGGAAGGAAGGAAGGAAGGAAGGAAGGAAGGAAAGGGCAATAGCACTTAGACTTCTATACTGCTTCATAGTGCTTTTATAGCCCCCTCTAAGAGGTTTACAGAGTCAGCCTGTTGCCCCCAACAATCTGGGTCCTCATTTTACCAACCTCAAAAGGATGGAAGGCTGAGTCAACCTTGAGCCGGTCAGGATTGAACTCCTGGCACTGGGCAGAGTCAGCTTGCAATACTGCATTCTAACCACTGCACCACCATGGCAAATAATAGAATAGAATAGAATAGAATAGAATAGAATAGAATAGAATAGAATAGAATAGCACTTAGAGTTATATACCACTTCACAGTGCTTTTACAGCCCCCTCTAAGCGGTTTACAGAATCAGCATGTCGCCCCCAACAATCTGGGTCCTCATTTTAGCGACCTCGGAAGGATGGAAGGCTGAGTCAACCTTGAGCCGGTCAGGATCAAACTGCTGGCTGTGGGCAGAGTTTACCTGCAGTACTGCATTCTAACCACTGCCCCCTACAGCTCTTTGTGCAGACAAAATGTTGCACATAAAACAAGGCGGGGCCCCAATTGTGTAGCCACAGCTCCCATCCTGATATTTTAATTCCTCCAGTGGACACCTCTGAGGATGACTGGTGCCCGTCCACCTCCGTCGGTCACCACATGGAACCACAGGGTACATGCCAGGGGATCTGGCGATGCCATCAGGTTGAGTTGAAACTTCTAGGCTCCTGTTTAGGGGTATGTAACACGCACCCAAAAAAAGCCAATGCTATCTTAGGTTCCATCAACAGAGGGATCACGTGAAGTGTTAGTACCACTTTACAAGGCCCTGGTAAGGCCACACTTGGAATACGGCATCCAGTTTTGGTCACCATGATGTAAAAAAGATGTTGAGACTCCGGAAAGAATGCAGAGAAGAGCAACAAAGATGGTTTAGGGATTGGAGGCTAAAACATACAAGGAACGGTTGCTGGAATTGGGGATGTCTAGTTTAATGAAGAGAAGGACGAGGGGAGACATGATAGCAGCCTTCCAGTATCTCAGGGGCTGCCCCAAAGAAGAGGGAGTCAAGCTGTTCTCCAAAGCGCCTGAAGGCAGGACAAGAAGCAACAGATGGAAACTAATCAAAGAGAGAACCAACCTAGAACTAAGGAGGAATTTCCTGACAGAGAGAACAATTAACCAGTGGAACAACCTGTCTCCAGAAGCGGTGAATGCTCCAACACTGGAGGTTTTTAAGAAGAGACTGGACAGCTACTTTTCTGGAATGGTATAGCGTCTCCTGTTTGAGGAGAGGGCTGGACTGGAAGACCTCCAAGGTCCCTTCCAGCTCTGTTATTTTCTGTTCATCTGTAAAAATGAGTGTGTTTTCCCTCCTAAGGTCACCCAATTCTACTTTAACCATTTTGAACTTCATTTGGGGCTAGTAAAAATTAGCCATTTTACTACTGAATTTGGGTGGGACATTCTTGGGGCATATTGGATGCTTGAGGTGGCATCTTCTCTGAAGCTGACCATCCTAAGCCTCTCAAACTGGCAAACATTTACAAAATGTAAATATTTCCCTATTCTGCTTTATCATGAAGTCTAAAAAGGCAGCCGCTATACCATCATCTACTTTATATTCTGTGTCCCAAAAGAACCAGATTCTTAAAGACAAATTCCTTCTGTGTCCAATCACACTCGGCCAACAAAGGATTCTATTCTATAATTTAATAGCGAGTGTATCATTAATTAACCCAGTAAATTAACGTTTTAAGGTCGGAGTGATCTGAAGGTAGCTTCAAATACCTGTGAACAGGCAAGGAAATGTAAATTCCAGTTTTCATTTCAGGGGGTCCTTGCTTCGTGCTAGGTGAACGTCGTCCCACAACGTGGAAATGAGGCTGCAAATTCTTCCGTGGTTCTTCCTGACATCGCTGCTTCTCCCGTTTTCCGAAGGTGAGTGGGTCAAGGGTTTCGTGATCTTGTGGAATCACACCCACTCAGCCAGACGGTTGTGTTGTAACCTCCATAATCCCTAGCCAGCCTGGCCAATAGTATACAGCATTTATGGAAATTTACATGCGACAAGAAGCCCAGAGCAAGGAGAACATACGGCAGTGGTGGTTATAGCACATCTTGTTTGGGAAAAGATAAATTAATGGCCTGATTAGCCATATCGGTCTTCTGCAGATTTTTTAACATTAAAGGGGCCTGCGTGCCTTCCGATTATTTTTTTTATCACAACTGCCCTTTGCTAAGGGGATGAGGGGTAAACTGCAATACCAATTCCATACCCAAACAGACACACATACACACAGAGAGAAACACCTTGAACACATTTTGCTTCTTATCCAAGAAGCTTCTTCAGTTCTTCTTTTTCGGAAGGGAAGAATCTTCTAAGGCAGTGGTTCTCAACCTGTGGGTCGGGACCCCATTTGGGGTCGATCGACCATTTCACGGGGGTCACCAAGCAAGGCTGTCCGCCATTTTTTTCCCCTTTTCCGGCGGGTGCCTTACCTCCCTTGGGCTGGGCCAGCTGGTGGTCGGCCTACTCCATCTCTGCCGCTTGCCAGCTACGCCTCGGCCGGCGCAGGGGGCGGAACCACGCATGCGCGGCGCTCCCGGGCAGGGAAAGTCCTCGACTTACAACCGGTTGGGTAGTCCTCGACTTACGACCAGTTTAGTCCTCGACTTACGACCGGTTTAGTCCTCGACTTACGACTGGTTTAGTCCTCAACTTACGACCAGTTGGGGTCGCGGCATTAAAAAGGTTGAGAACCACTGTTCTAGGATGAGAACCGAAACATTTTCAAGAAAATAAACCAAGAAAATCCAGCTGCCTTTTGGAGAAAAAGCACGTTTGGGACAGCCATAACCTGGAAGATAGAGACTCTCCAGAGACAATTCTATATATATATATAAAAAAAGTTTTGTGGGTGCCCAGTTTGGGCTCTTTCCACCGTTTGAGGGAACTGGATGGGCCGCTTCTCTTTGTTGGAAGTAAAATCTGCTCCAGTTCCAAGCCGGGAGAAAGACGCTGAAATAAAAGAGAGGCAGGCTGCATTTTGGAAAGGAGGTCTTGTTTATTTGGTAGCCAGAAACTACAGTGACAGCAGCATGTTTCTGGGGTGGCTGACCAAATGGGTTGAGAGTAGACGGGCTTTTATACATTCTTTGGGCCTTTGTGATTGAGATGCCTAGGTTGGTTGTGAAATGTACTTTAATCTGTGCGTGATTGTGCCCTTTTAGTATTCTAATTATTGTTACCTGACTCATTGTGGCTGGGAGGTCATGCCCTGTCCTGGACGCTGGGTGGGGAATGTAGGTTTTATATGTCCCTGCTTTTTAATCTATCAGTTCCAGTCTTCTGTGGAGGTTGTAGCTGTAGTTTTGTTAATAATAATAATAATAATAATAATAATAATAATAATAATAATAATAATAATAATAATAATAATAATAATAATAATAATAATAATAATAATAATAATAATAATAATAATAATAATAATAGAAAGACTGTGGCAAAAGCAAGCAAAGATAGTACCAATAGTCATAGGCGCCTTGGGTGCAATCCCAAAACAACTGGAGCAACACTTGAACACCACTGGCATTGACAAATTCGCTATTAGTCAATTGCAAAAGGCGGCCTTACTAGGAACTGCTTCCATCCTGCGACGAGATCTGTAATAACATCAAACATCCACATCTGCCTATCCCAGGTCCTGGGTAAGGACTCGATAGGTAGACAAAATGCCAAATCCAGTCTGAACATCTGGCTGACTGTGCGATGATCAATAATAATAATAATAATAATAGTAGTAGTAGTAGTAGTAGTAGTAAAGTTGGAAGGGACCTTGAAGGTCATCTAGTCCAACCCCCTGCTCAGGCAGGAAACCCTATACCTATACCATTTCGGACAAATGGCTGTCCAGTCTCTTCTTAAAAACTTCCAGTGTTGGAGCATTCACCGCTTCTGGAGGCAGGTAGTTCCACTGGTTAATTGTTCTAACTGTCAGGAAGTTTCTCCTTAGTTCTAGGTTGCTTCTCTGCTTGATGAGTTTCCATCCGTTGCTTCTTGTCCTGCCTTCGGGTGCTTTGGAGAAGAGCTTGACTCCCTCTTCTTTAGGGCAGCCCCTGAGATATTTGAACACTGCTGTCATGTCCTCCCTCATCCTTCTCTTTATTAAACTAGACATACCCAATTCCAGCAGCTGTTCCTTGTATGTTTTAGCCTCCAGTCCCCTAATCATAAATTATGAACAGTTTGTCTTGATGAATGGAAACTAGCCATTCAGAGGGGCCGGCCACTTGAATGGTTTTACTTCGGGGAAGACTTGTCTCTTCTGCGGATGGGGTGCGGGCATTTCTTTTCCAATATGGGGGCTTTCTTGTATTAAAAAGGGGGGAAATTCTCCTTACATCTTTTTATTATTGACTTGGTTGTCTCTTAAAAGGCCACGGATGGATCAAGCCCCGCGACCACCGGCCCTTTTACCCAAATACCGGCGTTCAAAACAATCTTCCTCCCGCGAAGCCTCAGGTTCCTGACTCCGCTCTGGAATACCAAAGCTCTTTTTGTCAAGAAGGTTGTCGAGATGGCTGGATGAGTTACTCGGGCCACTGCTACATGTATGTTCAGGAGCAACGGACGTGGCCAGAAGCTGAGGTACGGACATTTTCCCAACCGTCCTCTTCAGTGGAGGCTTTTCATACCCAAGTACTCTGTCTCAGTGGTGGCATTCAGCCAGTTCGCACCGGTTCGGTAGAACCGATAGCTAGGTTTTGTTGAGTTCGGAGGACCGGCGGAACCCATGCTGTTTCTGGAAGTCCCTTCTAGGCCTCGGAGGCCTGGAGGTGAAGAAGCATTGACAGAGTTCTCTAGTACTCTGTGACATTCCAGACATATTGGTCCATGGAATGTTTTATTTTCTGTCTCCCTCATATTCTTATTTGCTTATTGCATGCTGACTCTGCCCACTGCCAGGAGTTCAATCCTGACTGGCTCAAGGTTGACTCAGACTTCCCTCCTTCTGAGGTCAGTAAAATGAGGACCCAGATTATTGGGGGCAACAGGTTGACTCTGTAAACTGCTTAGAGAGAGCTGTAAAAAAGCACTGTGAAGTGGTATATAAGTCTAAGTGCTATTGCCCTTTCTTTCTTTCCTTCCTTCCTTCCTTCCTTCCTTCCTTCCTTCCTTCCTTCCTCCCTCTCTCCCTTCGTTCCTTCCTTCCTTCCTTCTTTCGTTCCTTCCTTCCTTCCTTCCTTCCTCCCTCTCTCCCTTCCTTCCTTCCTTCCTTCCTTCCTTCTTTCGTTCCTTCCTTCCTTCCTTCCTTCCTTCCTTCTTTCTTTCTTTCCTTCCTTCCTTCCTTCCTTCCCTTTCATGTTTCTTTCCTTCCTCCCTTCTTTCCTTCCTTCCTTTCTTTCCTCCTTCCTTCTTTCCTTCCCTTTCATTTTCCTTCCTTCCCTTTCATTTTTTTTCCTTCCTCCCTTCTTTCCTTCCCTTTCATTTTCCTTCCTTCCTTCCTTCCTCCCTCCCTCACTCCCTTCCTTCCTTCCTTCCTTCCTTCCCTTTCATGTTTCTTTCCTTCCTCCCTTCTTTCCTTCCTTTCCTCCTTCCTTCTTTCCTTCCCTTTCATTTTCCTTCTTTCCCTTTCATTTTTCTTTCCTTCCTACCTTTTTCCTTCCCTTTCATTTTCCTTCCTTCCTTCCTTCCTTCCTTCCTTCTTTCTTTCTTTCTTTCTTCCTTCCTTCCTTCCTTTTCCTTCCTTCCATCTCCTTTCCCCCTTTCCTTCTCTCTCCCCCTATCTCTTTCTCTCCTTCCTTCCTTCCTACTCCTTCCCTCCTTCTTTTCTGCCTCCCTTTCTCCCTTCCATTTCTTCCCTCCATTTCTCCTTCCCTTTCCCTCGTTCTTCCCTAGCTCCCTCCCTCTTCCCTCTCTCTTCACTCCATTCCCGCACACCCTCCAGTCTGAAGCACACCTCCGATTCACGGCTGCTCCGTTTACCTTCCTCTCTCCGATCATTGCTTCCTAGAGGACTTGCCAAAGCTTCATCCCAAACGGACACCTGACCAGCATCTCGAGTGCCCAACACAACACCTTCCTGGTGAAGCTGGCCATTTACCAAGCACGAAAACCGGTTCTGTTCTGGATAGGAGGAAGCCACCAAAAGGTACGTCCAGCCTTAAAAACATCTGGAACCTTTGAGCTTCACTTTCTAATAGTAATAATCAATCAATCAATCAATCAATCAAGAAGTTTCATGTTTGCTTTAACAGCAGAAACATTGGGCTCAATTGCAGTTGTAAGTCGGGGACTTGCCTGTATTGGGTCCACTTCTGTCAAAAATAATAATAATAATCTCTTTGATAGTTAGTCTCGATCCTGGCTAGTCCGAATATCTTGCATATCTGGCAAGAACTATGGGCACGAAACAGGAAGCTCACCCTGTCCACATCCTACAAAGAAAACCTTTACAAAATGTTTTATAGATGGCACTTCCCACCTGCAAGACTAGCTAAAATGGGCCCTAACATCTCCCCTATGTGCTGGAAATGCAATTTGGCAAGAGGGACATATTATCATATGTGGTGGGAGTGCCCGAAAGCCCGTGACTTTTGGAATAAGGTTAAAAAATGGCTAGAAGAAATACTAATGACAGAGGTAGAGCTAAAACCAGAACTCCTACTACTAGGTATTACCATGCAGAAATACGACAAAGGGACACTTTACTTAATGTTACATATCTTCACGGCTGCCAGATTGGCCTACGCACAAAACTGGAGAAATAAATTCCAACAGAAGAAGAGATTCTACATAAAATCTTATCGTGTGCTGATATGGATAGGCTTACTATTCTGGCCCATATAGATCCATGTAACCTTGTATAGCTCTATGTAACCCTAACTGGAGAGCACGTATCAGTATGTTAGTAATAGGTCAGTGGGAGGAGTTTCAAAAGGGCATTGGGAGACTTCCTGGACACAAGCCAGATTGGAAGGTCTTTGTCTGAAAGAAGCATGGCCCATCAGATGTCACCCGATGAGCCTGTTCTGCTATAAAGATGGTATGGAGAGAGAGCTTCATCTTTTTACCGATAGAAATGAACAAGAGATGTAATATCGGAGGCAATCATCATGAAAGCAAGTAACCTATCTGATTAAATATATTTCTTGTTATGAAAGCATTTCTTTGTGTTATCTATCTGACTGGATTTAAAAGAAGGCGTTTTTAACTCGGAGTCAGAATAGTAAAAAGATGCTCAAAGTTCATATCAACTTTATAAAGCAAACAGTAATTTGATGTGGTTAATTTTCCTCTGATCTGCAAATTTAAAGAACAGTAAACAAAGACTCTCTTGCATGTGAAAGTAACTAGATGTGACTGATTCCAAGGATTGCCTGTAACAGTTAAATCAGTATATCTGTTTGGCAGACAGCGTTTCAAAGAAGGCGTGATTCAGATGTTTTGATTTCTTTGCCGGTAACTTCAAACAGCTTGGGGCAATGAGAGAAATGTTTCAGAAGACTGTCTGTACACCTATTTCCAATACTTACTATGGAATTAAAGGACAAGACAGAAACGGACTATTTTGAAATCTGGGACAAATTTTATTGCTGGTACGAGTCAAGGAGAACTGTTCGGGCTTTAAGTTAGTGTTAAGATTGTGGTATATAAAACTGTATGCTAGTATATAGAGAAACAAACTTGAGACTGTATTATATAGGAAAATATGTATATATAGAGATTAGGAACTTTAAGTATGATAAGGAACAAATTGTTAGGATTATATGTACTGGAACGACACCTCATGTCCTTTTTTGTTTTAACTGTTTTATTAATAAAAAACTTTAAAAAAAAAGAAAAGAAAAAGAAAAAAGCACCTCCTGGACGCCGGATCTCATACGGTTCTTCTTTTATTTTTCCCCAGGGCAGTTCTCTCCGATGGAGCGACGGCTCCAGGCCGAATTTCCTTCAGCGTCCCCTGAGTTCAATTCTTAATTTGGCGGGCGGAGCCATTCAACAAATCCTAGGCCTGAATGTCCGGATCTGCCTGCAAATCAATTTAGGAGGTATTTCCTACAAATATTGTAGACTCTTTCCATCTTTTCACAAGCTGTAGATGGTTTAAGTTACGGCGAGGTGTTTGACTTTGCAAGGCTTTGTCCTACTACCGAGACACCGAGTACAGACTCGAGATCCAACAGTCCTTGACTTACAACGGTTTGTTTGGTGACCGTTGAAAGTTTCAACGGCACCGGAAGAAGTGACTTAGGACCGTTTTTCACACTTACAAACGTTGCGGCATTCCCCAGGGTCACGCGATCAGAATTCAGAGGCTTGGCAACTGGCATGTACTTACCACGGTTGCAGTGTCCTCCCAGGGTCACGTGATGCCCTTTTGTGACCTTCTGACAATGGAGGAAACTTAACGACCGTGCTACTAGCTTAATCACTGCGGCGATTCACTTAACAGAAATTTTGGGCCCAGTTCTAAGTCCAGGAGTATCTGGAGTGCAAAGCCAGAGTCTCCTTGGATGATCACAAAAGGGTTTTTTTGTGCTTTGTGGACATAAAAAGAAAAAAAGAAGAATAGAAAGGACTGATTAGGCAGGGGCGAAGAGGAAAATGGAGGAACATGTTTGCAACCGAGTCGGTGGGGGGAAGGGACCACCAGCCCGTCTGCAGAAAACAGGGGCGCGTTCTGGTGGCTGAGTGGCTTTGCAGTTATCTCCCCAATGCGTGATCAGCTTTCCCAAAGCTTCGACGAGCACGAATCTAATTTTTAAATTGCCACACAAACCTTAGGAACAGGGTCAGGATTTCATAAGGGAGAATATATGTAGCTCAGGGTTGACATGAGGGGTCCTTAGCACTGATGGTGTTACCTAGTTTGGGTGATGAAAAGTCTGCAAGAAAACAAGCAAGCTCAGAGAGCATCAAGGATCCCATAGTCCTCCTCCTCCTCCTCCTCCTCCTCTCTGTATATCCCCTCCCTTCTACCACTGATGATGTCACCTAGTTGGGTCATGAAATGTCTGCAAGAAAACAATCAAGCTCAGAGAGCACCAAGGATCCCACAGTCCTCGTCCTCCTCCTCCTCCTCCTCTCCACAAACCACCCTCTCTTCTAGCACTGATGATGTTATCTAGTTTGGGTAACGAAAAGTCTGCAAGAAAACAAGCAAGCTCAGAGAGCACCAAGGATGCCACAATCCTCCTATTCATCTTCCTCCTCCTACTCCTCCTTTCTTCCCTTCTCTCTCTCTCCCTCCCTCTTTCCTCCTCCTTTCCTCCTCCTCCTCCTCCTCCTCCTCCTCCTCCTCCTCCTTCTTCTTCTTCCTTCTCCTCCTCCTCTTCCTCTTCCTCTTCCTCCTCCTCCTCCTCCTCCTCCTCCTCCTCCTC